TAGTTGCTCCTTCATTTCCAAACATTCCTCTGGAGTTCCTCACCTGCTCCCCATTCTGCTCCCATTTTTTTTTTCTTTTTGTCTCATAACTTCCCCTTCCTCTTCCCACATTCTGGAAACCCTAAGTTCCAGGCAGGCAGGGGAGGGCTTGCAAAATAGGCGCCATCCCAGTTCTATCTTTCTTCCTGGAGCCCTGCAGGGCAATTTCATTGTCAGCAGGAACAAATCCACAAGGAGCAGCAGCAAGAGGGAGAGAATCCTTATAAGAATCTCCGACCCGTTTCCTCCTCCTTCCCCTAACTCGTTGCACAATCACATTGTCCCTAGCTTATTAAACAGAAGGGACTTCCGAGAAGGGAGCAAAGCCTGGAATGATGAGACACCCAAGGCACCTCTCCTCATCACCACCCCTGACAGAGCCAAATGGCCTGTCAGCTGCCTCTGACACCCCATGCCGGCTCTTGGCTCCAGGCTGTCACTCACACTAAGGATATCCTTCCTTCTATCCAAATGGCCCTCAGTCTTCAGTGCTCAGGACTCAGGACCCTCTACCTCCATGAGCCTTCTGAGACCACTCACACCCTTGCTAACATCCAAAGTTCTCAGCACCTACATGAAGCCTCGCGTCCAGACTCAGCTGAATACACGCTTGTACTGGAAGTTATCTGCCAGAAAGTACTTTCTGGAGGCCAGACAGGAGGCTATGTCCCACCCCTCCTTCACCCAGGACATGCAGGCCAGCAAGGAGCCCGTGTTGATTATGAGGTTGGGCAGTATTTGCAGGCAGAAAACCTGGTTCTTCCCATGCTGGCTATTCTACTGACTGCCAGTACAAACGGAGGAGGGTGGCTTTGCCTTTCCAAGTACCAATTTCCGTCTCCGCAAAATGAGGAGAAAAACACCTTCCTTGCCTTTCTCAGAGTCTTGTGACTACAAAACACCATACAATGTGCGTTATTATTACAATAAATAGTGAGGCAAAAGAGCCATGTGGCCCACACCACTCCTCAATCTGCCCTACAGTCCGCAGGCCTACCCACTTTCCCCAATTAAGCCTATGAAAGCCCCAAGGATGTGCTCATCAGAGCTGCCACCTGCCCTGCTGAGGCAAGGCACCCCAAAGCCCCCACATGGCCCAGGCACACATCTTCGAGCCAATGAGCTGTGACTTCCACAGACAGTAGGACTCTCAGGCTGCCTGGAGTTTATGCAACAAAGGAAACCACAGCAGGAAACAAATGCATTCCAGAAAAGTGGCAATAAATGAGACACTCGGTCAGGAAGCAGAACCCGGAGGTCACCCCTGGAGAGCCTTCAGCACCCCAAGTCCCTCCTCTAAATGTAATAGCTGTCAATGCATTTGTCTGGTCTTAATAAGTGGATTAAGCAAAAGGCATGGCTTCTGGGAAAGAGGAGAGAGTGGCTCCACACCTCCCTGATGGGAACCTGCCAGCATGGGGAGCCCTACTAAACAGCCCTCTCCGGAAAGGGAGCAGGCTCTAACACCAAAGCACCTTGTTACCTCGCGCTTCCACTCACCAGCTTTGTGGCCTGAGCCAAGTCAGAGCCTCTCTGAGCCTCAACTTCCCCACTGGTGAAATCAGCAGAGATATGTGATGCATGTAAACATGCCACCTGAAGATAGGTCTGACCACTGTAGGTAGGTGACAGGGCCTGGGGATGTGTGCAGAGCGGGGGATGAGGTGGGGAGGAAAGAACAAGGATGCCACAGCCCACGGTCACCGTTACGTGCACAGAGATCCTCCACCCTTGACCTCTGAAGCAGATGTAGCCCTCACTGATGCCGGTAGCTCGGGCTGCATTTCCTGTGAGCATTGATCGTGTCTCACCAAATGGATTGAGGACATTCTGCCGCGTTATGCTGTACAGTGAGCAGCACAGTGCTACATTGCTACATGTACAGACACCGCTTGAACGTTGGCGGTTCGGGTAACTGATTTAAAGAGCACGTGCTTTTCTGATGCGTAAAATAACACATGCATAGTAGGAAATTTGGGAGATAGTTTAACAAAATAAAAAATCACGTGTTTCTTAAAACCCACAGATAACCACAGTTATCACTTGGATATATTATATTCCATTCTATTTTTCATGACTGTATACATCATTTTTTACAAAATTGTATTATACTGTATTTACTTTTAAACCTTTATCTACTTAATATATATTATTAGCATTTCCCCACATTCTCATATATTATTCAATGTAATTTTAATAGCTTCCTTGATTTCCATTTTATAGATGAGCCGTATTAGATTTAATTAATCCCCCCACACAATGTTTTGTTACTATGAATAATGCTGAAAGGAATACCCTTGATTAGAGCTATTTTGCACATCTGTGGTTATTTCCTTAGGATAAATTCCTAGAAGAGCAATTGCTTACTGGTTCAAAGGATATATTTTTGAGACATGTCTCCCATATTTGCAAATTATCTTCCCATCAGCTAAGTGTGAAAATGTCCATTTTCCAGCACTCTTAACAACACTGGATATTATCATTTTCATTTTTGCTAATCTGGTAGGTGGATAATGACACCGTGTTTATTTAAGTTCATATTTTAATTATTAGTGAGGTTAGACAATTTTGCATATATTCCTGGACATTTCTGTTTCTTTTCTTTGTGTTTGAACTATCTAGTCACGTCCTTTGGCCACTTTTCTTTCAGGGGACAGGCTGATTTTTAAAAATATTTTATGAACAAGAGAATCAGTCTACAACCTCCTTTGATGACCCTGTCCCTGTGTTTAACAATCCCCTCCATGAAAGCATTGATGCTAATGTCTAATTCATATCCTTTTCCTGTAGCTTAAACTCATTTGCCCTCATTCTGTCTTGGGGGTGGGGAGAGGCAGGTGCAGGGCTCCCTCTTTCATCTAACCGTGCGACCTTTCCTCACCTGTCAGCTTCTCCTCTGGGGGATGAATAATTTCTCTTCATTTTTACCTGATCTAGTGTAACTTATGAAGTCAAAGTATCACCCTTTGATGCTGTCCCCTCCTCTTCTTCTATTGTCACTGTCTTCCTTTAGGCCCTCATCACTTCTTACCTGGACAGCAGCAAATAACTTCAGAACGCAGCTTCTCTATCCCAGACTTGCCCCCCTTCCAAATTCACCCCTGCTCTGTTTCACTACTCATCTTCCGAAATGCAAGTATGACTGTGTCTTTTCCTGCCTAACACCCTCTGCTCCTCAGTTTGGCCAGCTGGTCCCTCCCTACCTGGGAACATCCATTTGCCCCCTTTCCCCCACCCTCCAAAATACACCTCATGTGCTCAGACAGCAACACCCAAGTATTACTTACAGTGCTTTGACACGCTGTACTGTTTCATACTTGAGTCTTGCAAATGTGGCTGCTCTATTTCTCACCCCTCCACATGTACCTGGTGAGAAAGACTAGATCAGGTGTTCCTCTCTCCAGGAGGCCTCCTCTGACCGTGCCAGCTGAGGGTAACCATGTACACCCTGCAGCCAGGACATACTACTATCATGCTTGCACCTTATTGTATTCTAGTGTAGTCCATACACCAAAATTGAAGGCAGAAATGTGAAGTCAGTTGAGCGTCATTCTGAATGGAAAGGATACAGTGGGAGTACCCTGGGCTGGCCTGCCCATCTGACGGACTCATATTTCTGGAGGTTCTCTCTGTTGGTCATGAGCTCCTTCGACTTCCACAGACAGGCTCCACAGTCTGTTGGTTTCCTGTTCTTTCTCATGCTATCCCATTTCTCCTCTCTCTTCTTAATCTTCCTGAGCTCTCTCCATCCTACAAGTCTATCTCACCTACTGGGCAGCCCAGCCTGGGCGCCCACTGTTTCCTCTCCTCTTTTGGCTGGGCTGTTCTGTGGATAGACATAACACTTGGCTGGGGCTAGTGGTCTTTCCACACAACTTCCTGCTGGAGAAGGACCACAGCTATCTTGTGTGGTAAGTCCTCTTGTGCCTGCCTCAGTGCTGGGCATACCAGCTCAGGATGCCTTTGTTAGCACAGAGACATGCCAGCAGGCTATGGGTGTGGGAGGGTCATGCCCTCCCCCTGGGCACTCACTGCTGACCCATAGCTAGCCCAACAAAAACCTCTGTGTTTTCTTTCTTTTTTTAAGTGCCTATACCCATGCGTTTACTAATTATACATTTATTGTGCGGGGCTCATTTCACCCACTCATTTTGCTTTCTATGTGGTTCAAACCACCACCTGTGCCCCATTCTCCAGCGGGAGGGCCTGCTTTCATCCCAAGGCCACCGGTAGACAGCAACACCCTCCACTCCTGCCCAAAACCTACCAGGAACAGCTCCTGGCCCTGAGCTAGCCCACCCCTGTTCTGTAGTGTGCACCTTCCCTAGGCCCCCCTAATACTCTATCCATGGGGCTCCAAGCACACCCAGAAGATGTGTCCACCCAGAAATGAAGCGAGTCTGGATGAAAGGAATATAGAATTTCAGCCTCACATTGTGGAAGCTTTTCTCAGACGTGAGAATCTAAATGAAAATGAGAACTTGGTTTTGTTTTTTAAAGGTGACTGCTGAGGTGTCCAATCCAGGGCCTGTGCATGCTGTGGACCCCTCTTGTTTCATTTATCCCATGAGAAGTCGAGACTAGCTCTCTAAAGTCTCTTACCTCTGTAAGATTCAGATTAAATCATCTTTTATTTTATTCGTATCTCGCTTCTTGGTCCTCCCAGCTGTACCCCATCCCCTTCTTTCCGCTCCAGTTTCTGGCAAGCATCCCTCCTCCCCTGGCCTTGCCCAGCCTCTCCCCAACCGCGGACTGGGGACTCTCGAGTTCACTGGATAAATCAGGGAAGCTGGAGTTGAGCGCACGGTGTTAGTAATGTGCACTCGATAAATACTGCTTAACTGCAGGTGTCCCTGCCTCTGCCATTTGGTTAGAGAGGAATTAGGAGCACAGAAAAAGCAAATGGTCTATCCAATTTGGAAACAAGAGAGAAAATGAGCTACAAAGCAAATAACACTGACTTGGGAGATGGAGGACCTTGATTCTGGTCCCGGCTCTGCCATTGGAACACTGTGTGATGACGCCAAGGACTGTCACCCCTCTGGGCCTCATTTGCCACGTCTGGAAATGAAAGATTAGACTTCATGAGAGATCCTCCAGCGATGGGCAGGATCTGCCAGTCAAAGTGGCACCCTGGAGGGTGGCACAGGGTGGCTGCACTCTTTTTCCACTCATCCCGGGGATTTTGATTCTCAGCCACTTGGATAGCCCCAGAGCAAGGTGAGGTTTCAGAGAAATAAAACAGCACCCTGGTCAGGAGAGGGCGGGATCCCTAGACGAAGCAGCCCCTGCCGCTCGCCTCCTCACAGCCCTCTGCCTCCTCTCCCAGCTGAATCTCCTGCTCATCCGTTCCCTAAACATCATCACAGAGGCTCTCCACAACCTTCCCTTTTTAACAACTCTTGCTGATGGAAAATTCTTCCTCATACCTAATCTAAGTCCATCTGCTGCAATTTCTGTCTATTTTCTCTCGTTCAATCCTTACTGGAGATGGAGAACAGCTGGTCGCCATCCTCCATATAACATCCCCTCCTAAACCAAAATCAGTTATTACATCACCCCTCAGCCTGTTTTTCTCCTGGTAGAGCATCCACCGTTCCTTCCAACCTGCCCTCACGGATGCTAGCCCTGAAAGCATCACTGAGCACCACGGCCAACCCTGGACGAGGCTCGGCAAGCGCCAAGTCCTTCTGGAGCTGTAACATCCCCAGCTGGATCCAGGACTCGGGTGACAAAATCCAGGGAGAAAGTCAGACAGAGCAGAAAAGGACCAACCAGTCCAAGCCCCTGGCTTTACATATGAGGGAAACGAAAGAAAGAGCAAGGAAGTACAGCAGCGCTCAAGGTCAAATCTGAGGACTCAAGCTCCAGGGGCTGGACCCCAAACATCGCCACCACCATGCTGAGTGGCTGCAGTGTGTCCTTCCGTGGGAAAGAGCAGAACCAGTCTTGACTAAGAAGCAAAGGGCCACAGAGGCTCTCTATCCAACCTCTGTCTTTCTAGTCCCACTAGCTGGTGTCTGAAACTCCACTACGAATGGCTTGGATTTCCATTAAGAACCCAACTACCTCTCTGTCCGTGGCAGCACTGTTGACTGTTCACACCTTAGGAGGAATAAGTAGATGTGATCCTTTCCAAATCTTGATAGAGAGATTTAGGGGTGAGAAGAGAACAAAGGACAAAGAAACTAGAATGGCAGACAAATGTTACTGCTTGCTAACATTTTCAAAGTCAGTCCTGCGTGGGGGGGCTGAGGGCGGGTGGGCCTCACGGCAGTGGAGCAGTGAGGGCTGTGCTTTGTGGGGATCCCTTGAATCTGACAGGTCTGTGCCCAGGACCATCTGCCCTGACTGCCTCACACAGGGGAGCTGCACCACCCCAAGTGTTCTTACAAGGTCTGCGTAGAACTGAACACGGTAAAAGGATTACCTCATTGCTGCCACAGGGCCAACCCCATGTGCATCCCAGAATTCCTGACTCCCCCTGGTTAACTGTTTCAGATGTGAGGTGAGCAGGGTGTCTAAAATTAAATCCCAACCTCCAGGGTACCCTTACGTGATAGGAAGGAAGAACCAGAAGGGGAGGAAGAAAGGGAGATATAGATGAGATGGAGTATGGCCGTTCAGGTGCATGCTTCAATATGAAATAGCTCCCAAGTGGGGAAGAAGAAAGGGGCGTGTGAGCACAAGGAAAACTGAGCCTGTTGCACAATTTACTAATAATTTTGGCTATGAAATTTTCCTAAGTGAAGAATAAAGGGGGGAAATAACAGAGTGTGGCAAATACATTTCAGAGCCTAGATTTCAAAACAGGCTTCACCCTATCTTGAATAAACAGAAGCACCATGCTACAACCTCTTCACCTTTCAAAGGGTGCTCCAGCCTATTTCAAACCTCTGGACACACACACCCTCCCCCAGGATAACCAGGGAGTTCACACATCCACCGAAGATAAAGAAGACATTTCAACAGCATTTACAAAAACATCTAACACAGTAAACATGCTTATTTGATTTCCCCAAAACCACGAAATTAAATTTTAAAATAGAAGACTAAAAGGCTCTTTCCTAATAAAAATTCTAATGTGTTTTCAATCCTATTTCAGGGGACAGTTTTCTTTAACAGCAAAATCGCCACAAAATGACAAGATCAAAGCCGGTTGGCAAAGAAATGATTATTTACTGATGTGTTTATGATGAGAGGGGATGACAGGAAGGAGATGAGATGGAGAAACAGAAAAGTAAGGGACTTGCACTTGCCAGGTAAATCACCTGGGGCTTGTGGGAGCAGAAAGAGGCAACCTAGAAATCCTCGTCGGCCAATTGGGGACAGGGGAAAATGCTAGATCTATGGGTGGCGCCTATCCTGGGTCTGGGCTAAAGCTACCATGTTTGATGAAATAACGACTAACAGATTTAACTTCCTGAGTGCCAGTCGGGCTTTCCATACACAAGCAGGTGCCTGGTTTCATCAGGAACTCATCAGTCTAACACCAGCAACTAAATTCTCCAAACTGGATCATGGCAGAGGGGCTGGATCTCAGTGTCATGCCCCATCCAAGGTGAAGTTGCAATGATGGTATTTTGTGGTTCCGTCAATTATTCTTCAGCTCCTATGATGCTTTTTTTAGTCTACAGTTGTTATTTTAATGATCTCTGTTCCAAATGGGGAACTAAAAGAAAGAGAAATGAGGGGGAGGGAGAGGGAGCAAAGCAAATGCTCTGGTGTGTCCCACTTGTACTTCCAACCCCCCTCTGCTCCCTGCCCCCACCGTGCCTTTTTCCTCTCTGCATGAGTCACCATTCAGGAGCTGCTTTAAAAGCCTTACTTTTAATTTAAAGTCCTCTAACATGATAGAAACCCAGCAGATCAGCATCAATTAAAGGGACCCCAATTTTGTTACCTGTCCCTGGTTCTAGAGACCCCCTCAAACTCTAAAGTACTTCCTAGTTTCATTACTGTCTTCATGAAAACCAAGGTGCCCCCTTTCAAATTCCCCACCTGCTGGGTGCCGCCTCTCCTGGGCTCTCTGGGGGTCCTGTGCCCTAGACAGACCACAGAGGATGAGATTTTGGGGCCAATTATAACCAGCAGCTGATAAAGGTCCAGAGTCCACTCCAGGCTCACGAACACAAAGGCATTCTAATTTGTGGGGTTGCAAGTTTGTTTTGTTTACTGTCAGACAACATGTGCAGACGAGAAAGCTGACTATATCCTGACCAAAAGAAAGTCAGGCAGCTGGGGGCTTTTTTTAATCATTATGAGTAGAGCTTCATCAATAACAACTCCCACTCAAAATAGCTGCCTAAAGGAAAAGGAAGAGAACTTGTTGTGGAGGTTAAAGAAAATACAAATTAAACAGTGAAAGCGATGTGTGGAGCTAGAGAAGGGAGGCTGTCACCTGCACCCCAGCGGGAAGGGTGTAATAGGGAAAAGGTGTTGCTGGAGGGTCCCTCCCAGAAAGTTCACCTCCTGCCAGGATGGGAATCAAACTCTTCAGTTTCAGGTGGAGGCTAGAGCTCAGTCAGGAAATTCACCTGAATTCCCCCAAAGCCTGAGGGATGCGTAACATCAACCCCAGATTGGCAGCTTCAGAGTATCCAGCAGGTCAGTGCTGTGGGGCACTCAGATAGGAACTGCCTGCCTTCCCGAAAGCAGGAAGTTCATTCAAGGCCAAGCACATCACCTTGTCCCAGTTGGGACCCTGCCTCCTACAAGGCCCATCTACCTACCACCTCTCATTGACAGAAGCTCGGAAGCTTGGGGAAAGGAGTTTACTCACGTCTAAAAGTGGGTCTCAGAGCAAGGGAGGCCCTCGTGGTCCCACAATTTAGAGCGGATTAGGGTGCTACAAGGCTGAACCAGCTGCCTGCAACTGTGAGCTTTTTTACCTGAAGAGAAGTCATCAGAAGCAGTGCGGTTGGTGGCTCCAGCAACTTCTGGGCCACAAACATACCATACCTGCACACCTAAACAGAGCCAGCCTCCAGCAGTCTGCCCCTCCCACCAGCCTCCACCTCCCAGAGCAGCTGGCATGCTTGGCACAGAACAGCCCTTCACTGATAAGGGTGTAACCTTCACAAGGCATAAAATTTAGCTCTGTCCCCTTTATTTCAGTACACACCAAGCCTGGAAAGTCTTCCAGAGTTTTCGGGAGCTAATCAATTAAGTGATTTATTTTCCTCTGAGATCTGTTTTGTTGGTTTCTCACCAAGTTGTGTGACCCGCAGATGCCCATTAGGTCAAACAGGACTCCCCCACCCCAGGAAATTCCTCCTTCCACCAAATAAAACGAACTGAGACAGAGTGGGCAAGGGGTAGGAGGGAGGAAGGAGACAAAAGTTTGAGAAGGACTCAAGTTGAAGGTAACAACAGTTGGAGGAAGGCAGGTCAAGGTAATGCAAAGGGAGCAGACCCTATGGCGGAAAAACCCAACCAACCAATCACGTTTCTCAGAATCAGCCTCCCAGCGATGGGTTCGCCAGGAAACAGCACATGCAGGGGTCCAACTCCCTTCACCCAACAAACCTGAATCTACACACCCCAACCCTGCAGGCACCCTAGCCCAAGACCAGACCTATTTTCACAGACATGAGCGCAGCTAATTGAGAGAGTAGTAAACAAACCCAGTTCTAGACAGCGCAGAAGTTTTCCAAATTGTCAGCTTGTTTTCCTCCCAACAAAAGACGGTGATTTCCCACCTTTGCCACATTCTCTCCCCTAAACTTTTCTTTCTGCAACCCCTCTACATATGCTCAACTGCAAGCCGCTGAGCATGGAAGCGCAGGACCCAGCATCCCCGGGACGCAGGCAGGAGTACCTTTTCCGCGGAGCAGAGGGGCCGGTGCCCAGAGGCTCGCTGCCCTGCCGAGCCGTGGAAGGATGCTGTCGGGATGGAGCACGCTGAGGATTACGCGTTCCTGTCTCTGCGACCAGACCTTTCAGCAGCTCCGACCAACTGTGCTAGCGATGCACTTAGCAATTATCTGCTGGCGCCGACGCCCCGCCCTCTGCTTTTGCGATTGGCTCTCCGGTCCCGGGCAGGACTGCATTGGTTTCAACCGACCTCACTCATTGCTTTGGCTCCTACTATTATCTAAGCCATCAAAGGGAATAATTTCATGTTCATTGACAACCTGTAAGGCTTTCCTCCGGCCCGATGTTGGGGGCAGGACTGGGAGTCCAGTGGAGGGCGGAGGGTAGAGTAGAAAAAGTGGTAGGGGTGGGG